TTGTGTTTCGCGCGCTCATATGACCTTAGCAGTTGCGAGCGCCGTAAAACCTTATACTACTACTACTACTACAATTTTGTGATTTGTGCACATTTGACTGTCCGTTTGTCTCGTAAATTATAGGCAACTTCTGTAGCCCTCACTCCCTAATGCCCTAACCCCCCCTCTCTTTCTACTCTCAGCCTTGCAGTGAGTCTGAGCAGAAATACAAAGAAGATCAGTGCGCAGCGACCAACGACCAGGCTATGGGCAACAACAAATACCAGTGGATTTCCTTCTCAGTCAGTGGTAAGGAAACATATTTGAACAATGAAGACCTGAGAACAGCAACACGTTTAAGTCACATATTCCTAAAAATAGAGTTCTGCAAATCATTCGAAAGCGGCGGCAAAGAGTTATCTATTGATAGTAGTGAAGAAGTGTTATTCTACTCCTACGCTGAGATATTTTTGTTTGTTTTAGTAGAGGTTTTACGGCGCTCACAACTGCATAAGGTCATATGAGCGTCAAATATTCTTGTTGAAAGATGCAAAACGTAAGTGCTACAACAAAGTCAAGTCCAGAAAAGTCTATTTTAACCCTCTTATCGGAACTTACTTGTATGTGTTTCACGAATGAGGTTTTTGCTCATTTTCTAGAAATAATCTGAATATGACTTGACCTTGGTGTTGTTTTAGGTCTTCAATTATATTTAATATGCGCTTGTGGTCTTCTTCTTGATATCTTCATGAATGTTTAAATTCTCTTTTTAATTTAAGACTTGGGAATTGCACGTTTGTTGCGTCTTGGTAAGATCAGGTGCTCGTTATGAAGATCGAAGAAAACGGCATATATTTTTTCGATGTACTTTAGATCAACAACTTTTATTTGCGTTTAAAACACATGTCTATGTGGCTTTTATTGAAATAAAGTTGATCACAGCCACAACGAATCTAAAGTGTGCCGTTTTCAAGAACACCCAAGCTTTGGAAGTCACCAAACGTGGACGGCCATTTTCTCGCTAATTTTGTCTCTGACGCCAAACAACCCCCTCTTCCTTCAATTGCAAATATTTTGACGTCCATTCAAAATACTACAGTGTTGTTTTTTCCTCAGAAGTAAGACACATAAACAGGCATGGAGATGATATATAAATGACATTACTTCATATTCCCCAAAATTGACGTGCGCCTGACTTCCCTGTGTAGAAGAGAACAGCAGTTATCCTAGTGAAGTACACGTCTTGGACAGTGTCTTTACTTTACCTTTTACTTTTTTCTTTTTGTCTTTTACTTTTTATCTTTTACTTTTTACATTAACATTTTCGTCTTGTATTGCCGTTAAGCATCGAGGGGAGATGCAGTTTTCAATGGTAGGCCAGCTCCGCAGCTCTTTAAACTCGGATTGTATTATTTCTCAGGGTTTCCTTTACTCCCTCAATCTACCTTTTATCGCGCCCTTTCTCTTCTTCTTTAGCCTGAGTACTTGTCGTTATAGGCTCTCGAGGCTGGCTGGCTAGATGACATACGTAACAGGCGACGATCCCATTTTATTCTATGTCTTTCTATAGAAGTCAGGCATGAATCAGTGCCAGTAGCTGCTCTCACTTCTTCATTTCTCAGTTTGTCTCGTCTTGTGATGTTAAAGACGATGTCATTATGATATAGAAATCATGGAGGGAAGTAATGGATTGGAAAGGTGACTTTTTTTGAGAGGTGGCCATTTAGCAGGTCCTAATGTACGCACGCTCATAATAATATAACCATATGCAGATGAAAGCACGTAAAACACATACCAAAACAAACAATCAATTGTACGAAAACCATACAAATAAACCAGCAGCAAAGTATTTGACTCAATACGGTTGTGTCAGGCGCATGCAATTTTGGGCATATAGAATTATTGATATATTCATTTTCCCCCCTTTTTCGAAGAATAAATTATACCTATCTGATCTACCGAAGCCCAGATAGGAGTGCGATTGAATATATTTTTTTTAATTAGCTAGAAAATGGAGGCCAAAGTTAGGTGAATTCTTAACTCTCTGAGTGTCGTTTGAAACTTTGAATATAATAATATATTTGTGTGCCTTTGATCAGTGTTTTTCAGTAAAACTCACACACAATAATTTCTTCAATGCACTTGAAGGGTATTGAGCTACCCCCCCCCAAAAAAAAATAATTAAAAAAAAATAAA